GGCGTCCCGAAGGGACGAGGATCGCATTTTAATGGGGCGCGGTCGTATGAGAAATTTCTTAATTACCTAAATGCACTCCTTAATCATGGGGGATAGGTCTGCTTTGCCTCACCGTGACGCACACAACACTCGATGCTCGGAAACGGGGGAAAGGAAGAAAAACACTACACTCTACGCGACACTGGAAAACTGCACCACCTCGGCGGAACGCGAACGAGTCTGCCTCGTTCTCTCTCACGTCCGGTCTCGCTCTATTCCGTCGATGCGCGGCGCTGTGCGCGCCGCTGCTGCGTGTTCGCCGTGCAACATTAGCGGCGCCTTGTGGCGTAAATGAAAACTATTAGTAATAGCGACACGCCATTGGCTAACCAATAATATTCGAGCTTTACTGTTAACTTTAGACCAAGCGGTAAATTCGAACGTTCATTCGTATTAAATTATTATGGGTTATGATAAAAATATATAAATATTAAGATATTTTGATAGAATATGTAATGTATTGGTAAATATACAGATATAGAATGAAATTAATCTATATCTTAAATTATTATTTTTTTTATGAATATAACAAGAATAATAAACTGAAAACTTATTTTATATTAAATAAATAGATTTATTTAAATTTATAATAACAATCGAATATTTTTTATAAAATAAGACTTTCTTGGAAAATAAAAAAAATAAAATTGATACGTAATGTAACAATTTCATTTTTAGATTAATATGTTAAAATGTAAAGTTTTATATACATAAAAATATTAAAAATATTAAAAATATAAAAAAGAAATATATCTATTGATTTTTTATTCATTAAATAAATTGTTATAAATTGTTGTGCGCTATCAAAATAATTGTTTTACAATAAAAATGTATTAAAAACATTAAATATAAAACATTATTTAAATAATATTTTCTATAAACACATGGAAAATTCAATACAGAATTTATTAAACAATCTGTATGCCTACAAAAATGGTTAAATATAGACTTACTCTTATTTAAATATAACGTTTACCTTCTGAAAATGAAAAAAAAACAAAATTCGAACGTTCAATCCGTTTTAAGAGTTATCGCATAAAAACATTAACCACGTTAAATCAAAAACAGTGATTGATAACAATCAAATTGCCAAATGTTGTTCCTGTTTGCGATGTTCTTTCCCCAATAATGAAAAATGAATCACCATATTTCCGTGTCGGTTTAACATAATATAACGCGTTCAAATAAACATGGAAACGTGCAAACACCCGTTTCTATTTGGAATACATTGTCAACACTTGTCGAATGATATTAAAATTACACCTCCATAGCGTTAATTTCACCGTTTAATTCTATCGACGCGTGTTCTATCGAAAATCAAAATCTACGATAATCGGCACGAATCAATGTCCGTAATGATTGTAAATCGCATCTATGGTAATCGTTGATTGAAAATCGTTTCGTCAATTTGTATTGTATGTAATTGTACCGTGACCTAGGATAAATAACATATTTAACGAACAATCAGATAATGATTTGAAGAATTTTTGAATAATTTGAAGATATTTTTTAATATTTGTTGCATTGAGAATTATCAAAAATTAATTATTAATTTTTCTTCTATCTTTATTGTTCTTTTATTGAAAAAATTGTTAAAAAAATAAGAAAAATATCAATTAAAATAAAAAGAAAGAAAATTATTATTATTGCATTTATGAATTGATAATAAATTTTTATTTTATTTAAATTTAATTTTAATATTGTTAATTTTTTATAAATTATTTATTTTATTAGCTCCTGATTCATTTAACTACTAATCATTTATTATAACAGAAATGAATAATTTATTCGCGGAATTATATTTTCAAAGAATTATTCTATATATTAAAAAAGATTTATTACAATAATTCATATAGATAAAAATTTCATGTTAAAAACACAATAATTTAATTTACTTTACGTCTTTT